CAATGGCTAGAACTGAGGCCGCAAGGAGCTGAGAACGCAGGAGTCGGCGTCTGTTGGACATATGCGAAAAAATTTTTCCATAAGACGAAGACTTAGGACAAACTGCTTCGGTTTCTGGGGAAAATTGAAGAGGAAAACGATCACTACAAGTCTTGCTAATCTTATTTACAATTTTGAGCTTTTCCTCTATCCGGACGTTTTTCCCTCTCTCTCTCTCATTTAAGGCATAGATTTCGTGAACCGGACCTACCTAGTGGACAGTTACAACATTCAGCTGCAAATCTGGTAAGTACCTTGGGGATTTACTCTGTACTACCTCCTGTATAGTGTTTACATTCCCATGTAAATGCACTCGGGATCATCCTCTTTTGAAATGGCCAGTCTCTTGGATTGGTAGACAACATTAGTTACCGGGACTGCATCTATTATTACCCCGTTAGTTCTGTCAAAAAGTCCGTTAACACAAATGCCTATGTGGTCCGACGCTCGCATCATCAAACGTTGAATTCTTTCCGTCAAATGATACGAGAACAACAGTGGGGTGCAACGTGGGGGGATCTAATGTGAATGGGATTTTAGTGAACAGGGCCAATTCCGTTTTGGTGTCAAGAAAGGGAACAAAACGACCAGCGATTGACATGGGCGCATTTCTCAAGCCTTGAAAAGGGCCGATGGACACGAAGGGATATTTCTATTTCCACGGCGATCCACGTGTACGGTGCATCTATGCGGTCCATTCTTCTCTACGGATGCAAACGTTGGGCTATGTGCGTGAAATATGAACGGAAGCTGGAAATGTTTGACCAGTACCGTTTGAGGACCATCCGTCGAGTGAAGTACACCGACTTCGTCTCAAATAAGACAGCCCGCACTCGCTGCGGCAAAATCTCAGGCCATCCAAGCAAGATGACTGAGGCGGTTTGGACATGGTATTTGAGCCGATACCGGTATCCAGTTGGACACGTTAAAAAGACTGTCAGCACAAAACCTGGCTGGATTCAGACCGTAAGGGCTTGGAAGTGGTTCTTGGACTTTCGATGTTCGGCCTCCGGCACCGACGATTAAACTGTCCAGATCTGCTGTCACGGGTCGTCACGCTTGGAGAAGTACCATCCGGGAAATCATCGAAAGGGGCCAGCTCAGTCATAATCGCATCCGTAACAACCAACCAACCAATCTTGTCTTCCATTTCAAAAGCTAAGTCTTCAGACCATTTATTGACCTTCGACGCATCGAATTAAGTTTATTAATATAATTTATTTTGCTATCGGTCACATCCTCTCTCTTTCCTTGTCTATCGTGTATGGATGGAAATGCTGCGTTAAATTGGATTGAAGCTGAGATTAGACACGATGACTGACTGGAAATCACGTTTTCGCCAAGCTACCGTCACGCATGTGTTGGCTGAGCCGTCGACACTCACCTGAAGAATGCCTTGATCAAAATTAACATAAAGCCGAAGGAACAGTCGGATTGAATGCAGAAATAGCAGGTTGCTCAGCCCTCCCGGTATGCTCTTCTAGTAGATACATCGGCATTTTTCTCAAGACCCGAACGTTTTGATTTTCCAGAGACTTCTAAGTCACCTAAGACTTTGTAAAATCAACCTCAACCGAGGCCCAACGCTTGAGACGCATGTAACCCTGCGATAACTGCCCGGTTCGACGATTGATGTTGCGGATGATTTGCATCGCAATCGCCCTAGTTATTAAACAGTGCATGGACAATACACCGCCCGTCGGTTAATCTTTTCCCGTTGTATAGTACAGCGGTCTCTGTTACCATATCACACGCTGAAGAACCGAAAGGACAAAGGGGAACGTGGAGCGTAGAGCGTGGAGCCACGCGATTTTGACCTCAGGCATGCATCCAGGACGGCATAACGATTTGTCTAGTTCCAGCCAATCACCGGGCCGGATAAGCTTCGCCTTGACTTCGGTCGTGCGCCCAGCTGGTAGACCAATCAGTAACAAGGATGCTGTCAAATACGTTGATGTCCCCAAGCGGAGTTTTGGCCTTAAGGGTGTTGGATGCAGGTGTAAACTTCGGACTTAAGAAGATGCCATTCGTAACCGAAAGAGTTACCCTGTCGCAAGAGAGGTGAGGGGTGTGTGGGGTGGTTAGATGATGATGATGATGATGACACACTTAGTAGGGCGACTGCGGTAGCTTGCATGCACGTTCGGAATATTCTATCCTAGAGCTCTTCTCAGGTTTTTTGCTGTTGCAGGTGAATTCGAGCGCACCTAAAGCAGATGATCAATTCTACTTTCACCATCACGTTTTCAGTGGATAAGTAATAATTTAGCAAAATTGGCGCATTTTTAAATTCGGTGATATCACTATGCATAGTGCCTGGGCGGTCAACGTCTTATAACAGAGCTTTTTTAGCATAAGGCTGTTTTTTTCAAGTTCAAAACAAGATAAAAACGACTTTATCTGCAAAAAGATTTCCTTTTTTGAAAAAAACTGATCAGAACTCACTTCAATCCTGCAAGAGTCGAATCAAAAAAAATAAAAGGCAGTCAACTTCCTCCTTCTCCTATTCTTCTTCCTTCCTTTCTTCCACCATCACCTCCAAAAACGCTACCGCACTCTCGTCCTCTCCTTTATCTTCACCATCATCATTTTCGCTATAACTAAACCAACACTGGCAACAGCCATCATTGCATTGTGACTGGACGGCTTGAACCTAACCTCCAAAGCGATTAGACCAAATAAACATGCGCTAAGCGTGTCAACGGCATGCCTTTGAAAGAATTTAAAGAATTCAGACGCAAAGCCTAGTAATACCAACATCGAAAATGTACAGGTGTCCCAAAAACCAGGGATTCTTATTTGAACTCCTGCGCACGATCCTTCCGGCGTACTCATACTTCGTATTCCTGCGGGAATATTGGTGGAGCTGGACACTCAATACCAATACCAATACCGGGTATTGCTTTAGGCCAAAAGTGGGTTTATAGTCCCAGCACTCGCCTAAAAGGTCACTGAATTAACCCACGACAAGGCTGCTCTTTAGTTGTCATCAACCAGTAATATCCTAACCCCAGGTACTGACGCGCACCCGGCGCTTGAACCAGGATCCGGTGGACCATTGAGTACGCTTACCCGCTGAGTTAATATGCTCACAGTTCGCGGGTTGAGATCGGAGTAGGGTTCTTGGATCTATACTTGTTGTATAAATTAATTGGACACTACGCAAGTTAGCTTTAACTGAAGCCTGAGGCGGTCGCCGTGCTTTGGAGGCGTGCCTGCTGGTAAGCAACCTGGTCGCGGCTTTTGGGACGCCGGAAAATAGGGGAGCCATGAAGTGGCTGCTAAAAATCAACTCTACGAACCTGGCAGCCAACGGACTTGAATAGTGGACGCCGTGGTTGAGCGGGTACTGCACGAGTCTGTTGATGCCTGTCACACACGACTTAATCCCCCAGCACAAATCACCAAGTTTCACATGAAAAGGAGGTGGACGGCTCAGGTCTCAGAGGCATGCTAGAACAAATTGAGAAGGATGTATTGTGTCTGACGCTCAGTCCACTAATAGGTCCATCCATTTATATACCCACTTGGCGGCCTTCCAACCAAATACTTTTTGCGTGCCCTGCTAGATTCAAGCACGTCAGATTTATTAAAGTGAGAACCACTTATGCCATTTATTTGCTTGATTTCTTTAAACTTCCGGACGAAATAGCACACCGGGGGGGGGCATTGCGACTAGAAGCCTTAACGGGCCTGGAGTTGCGTCGGGCTCACTGGGAACTTTGGTGCAAATTGTGTCTCTCTCTCATTCATTATATCTCCTCATCACTTAAGTTTTGTAACATGGTATGAGACGGGCCGACCACATCGGTCTCATCTCCGGTTCCCTAATTTGGTTCTTCGGTAACAGTCTAGTATGGGACTAACCAAGAAAACCAAACCCGCAGAATTCTGTAATACGGGACCGGCGGTAATAGGGCTTATAAGGGGGTGCAGAAGAGAAAATAAAAGATATATCACGCAAAAAGGACATATTAGATAAAATTATTATAGACTGCGAATAAATCAACGAGAAAACGTGTGATCATTAAAAATAAATTAAAATAAATAAGTAATAACTAATAAAAAAAAATTATCAAAGTATTGCCGACCAATGTTAGGAGTGCAGTATACGCGTATTTCTAGCTTATTAGCTGTCGTCAGCTGCAGATACCCAACTCCAGTATTGCCACAGAAACTGCCGCTACACTCGAGGTTCGAACCTGCGACCAGTGAGCTAGAGACGAACGTCCTTTTCACTGAGCCATCGGGTCGACATCTTGCCGGTCACGTATCACGTTTCCCATGCTAAAAGCCCTATGATGGAATGTTACTTTTTTTCTCTCGCTCTCTCTCTTGGTCAGCATTTCTTGTCTTCTTCCATCCGGAAGAA